GCAAGGACTGAAAGGGGCCAGGCTATGATGTAATAATGACAGAAAAAAACAGCAGACAATATCCAGCAAAGTGCTCAGGGCTTCAGCATTAGGATGAAAATGGATGATGAAAACCATGTCTGTGCTGATTAATGAATTAATGAGAGATATAAATTAGGATTTTTAAGAAAGAGTAAACCAATCAATATCTACCAAGGTGGTTCAGTGTTTCCTAAATTAAAAGTTTTTATAATTTCTCATTTCAGGCATGTTCAGCTGTTAAAACAGAGTCCAGAAATACCTATGAGTGACGAGTAGTCACATGTTTACCCTCCTGTGCAGGTACCTTCCTATACCAAATACATCCTGTGTTTGTCCTCCAGTTTGATGCTTCATCTCTCTCAACCTACACAGCCTGTCACACTCTGTTCCTTCCTTAAAATAGCGTCCTGTTTTTGTATGGAAAAAACTCGGCAATTTCTGTTTACCCTCCCAGAAAACAAATGGTTTAAGTTTTGCTTCAAATGATTTCCATCTACAACCCTTGAGGCTTCGGGAAGCGAGAGCCGCTTTCTTCAAAGTGCGGAGTCAGCAGAAGCAAGAAAGAATTTTAATTTTATTGACAATGCTGTGGAATCGTCTCATCCATTTATCAAACAAGAAAAAGGCTGATGGAAGTCAGCAACACAGTGTACACTGAATCAGCTTGAGTGTGCAGATGCATGAAAGCATTTAACCACAAGAACTGTGCAATTCAGTTGTTTTTTTTTCAACAAAGCTAAATAACAAGGATCAAATCAATTGCAAATTTAACTATCAATCATTTCGACAGACTTAAATGACTTGGATCTCTATTCTAAAAAATAAAAATACAACCATAACCAGCTTTTTATTTATATGGTGCTGATTTGAGCTTGTAATTGACTAAAATAGAGAAAACAACAAAAAACATTTGTATCCAACACTTTTAATTCAAATGGTTGTTGACCGTCTCATTTAAACATAAAACACCCTCATAATGGAGTCACTTCTCACACCATCCACTTACACGTCAGCGATGAAGAGACAAAAAAGTTTAGAAAGAAAAAGAAAAGAAAGAAAGAATTTGACCAATTGATGCCCAAATATTGAGGAGTAGTCATGGCAACACCTTGGTTTTTAGTTGGCAGTAGCTTTGGTGATCTCAGATGTGGTATTTTCCCTCAAGATTCCCCTTCTTAGTTGCTGGTAAAAAAATTTAAATAGAATAAAAACATATGTAAACTAGAGGCTAATGCATCATGCCACAATATGATAATAGAAAAAAATGTCCAGTCCAGTGAACATTTATGAAATCATAGTTGGATATGAGTGGGGATCTTACTTTGACACAGTTACTTTTGGACTTTTAATCAAAAGCTGACATGTTACTTCTCTGCAGACCACACACCCTGCATTAAAGCAAAGCCAGAACCGGATCACAGAAGTTAAAAGACAGATGCACCATCTCCTTAAATGCACTTTTAGTAAATGTGTGTTCACAAGCCAAAAGCTGGTACACAAGATACTGCTCTTTTTTCAGAAGTCATCAGCTTTTCGTGTTAAACTGATGCTAAAAAAAAATTGCATTTAGCCAAAATCAGACACAACCAAAGCAGCTCCTAAGAGATGAATACATACTCTAAAACTAATAGGTAGTAATGTGGATTTAATGATTAGCTTGATTGTCAGGTTTTATGAAAATGATGGATATAATCACTCATGAAGTTAATAACTTCCTAAATCTGAACCCACAAGTTAGATCCATTTCATTATACCTTTAAACACAAATGACAAAGTCTAAAAGTAATTATGCCCCTATCAGAAAGTTAGTGGTTGCAGTTTGTGTATGCAGCATTTTGAAAAAACTGCAGAAATAAGTAACTTCTTTTTATTCCTCTTTTAATATACTGCCCCTCTTATTGTTTGAATTAGGAAAAAAGATGCAAAAAAGGCATGAGAAGGAAAGAAAAAGCAGCTAACATTTTCCGCTGGCCTCCATGTATAAACAGTTAGTAAACAAAAAGAGTCAAGCCTTTAAGAGGGATCCAAGAACCAGTAAAGTTAAAGGGGAAAAGTGTCAGAAATTTTCAAAAAAGGTATCAGTTTTGTTTTAGGATGAACTTGTTTGGACTGACTTGACAGAATAAAAGAATGTGATTAACACAGGTCCATCCCTTACGCAGATGTAGGCCATGCACAAATTAGCTGAAATCATGTTTCCACCCACTTGACAGTCCTCCACTGGTGATTATCCACCATTATCTCCACAACAACAATGTTTTTGCTGTTGTCATCATCATCAGTAATCACTGCTATCCAGCCAGATGTAATTACACCAGTGGTCATGTCATCTTATGCATCATCACTTACTGTGTTCTGGGTTCTCAAGTTGTTTCATATGATTTTTTAATGATTAAATGTGCACAGCATATGGAGAACACCAGGAATGATGGATCTGTAATATACGTGGTGCATGGCGACATGCAGCTCATTAGCTTGGATTAAAAGCCGGACTTCAGAGAGGCTTTGCTTTTATGACCTTTAGCATATGACAAAAACATGCCTGCAGCATATCACATGTCTGCATCCCTGTTAACATATGCAAAAGTCTATTGAACTACTGTTTAAATGCAGTCTCATATTACTATAAATTCACACACGTATTAACATATATAGTGCACATTTAGCATAAGCAACATTGCTCTTCAACACAGCCTGCGCAGCATTAAATTAGTAATCAGGAATAGTTATCTGGGCTTTTTGAATGACATTCCTAAGGTGTTGTGTGGAGGCTCTCACACTGCTTCAATTGTGTTCAAGCGTGGGTTTATTTATTGTGCACCGTAAACAGTGTGAGACGCTGATATATGCTGCAAAGACATTAGAACGCAGATTGTGATGATGTGTCGTTTCAGTCGGGATTTTAGGACAACACAACACTGGTTCATCCCTCGCATTAGGTGCTTTTTTGTCCTTGAATCAGGCACATGTCACAGAGTTCGATGGATTCATAACCAAAAAAATCAAATAAATTCAGGACTAGGCTGAAAAGAGGAGGAAACATTAAAAATATAAATTCAATTTATTTAGAAATAACTTTGAAATATTTTTAGAAATTTTGAAACCTCTCTCAAAATGTGATAGTGTGCAAATAATTACTTTAATATTATGGTATTTGCCCTTCAAATATCACTTTTATAAGAAATTGTATATCCATGCCCATTCATTCACTCACTTTATTTGGCTAGAGAAGTTTGATTAAATCAGGTCAACTAGCAGAAATTCTGTTCAAATTAACTCTCAGATCTGTGAAGTTCCATGGGATCACTTAATCCTGCCAACATCCACCTAAAAAGACCAGGACCCACTCAAAACAGATGAGAAAGCATGTGCACCATTTCACATGAAGGGAAAGGATTAAATCAGCGTTACTTCTCAAACTATGCAGAAGAATGTTGCTGTGGCGACAGCTCTGTTTTCAAGAATATTTACAGCATGCAGCCAGGAAATATTTGTCCCTGGTGCTCTCTCTGGCTTGTCATCCAGCACACACACACACACACTCACAATTTTTTCCCCTCTTGAAAAAGTGAATCATGGCAGAGGATTATAAATATGGCAAACACACAAACAGCCTGACAATGGGACCTCTGGCTCAGTCACATCTGCTGGATCTATAGTGGAGGAAACAGAGCCATGAACTCACTGTTGAAAAACTTGACTTTCATCGATCGGCAGCACCACACACTATCAGTGCATGCTGGGATGAAAGCGTTTCATTTCCACACATTTTGGCTCCACTGTTTTAATCCAGCAGTGAAAGTGGCGTGTAATTCAAAATATCGGATGGACAGTTAATCTCAATGGATAAGGGGGGTAAACAGTAGCTAATGAGACTCTGTAATCATCCGGCTTGGCCTGAACAATGCTGCTTTTGTTAAATGAGGGTTGAAGCCGTGATCAGGGTTCAAGATACCCACACAGAAAACTGCAAATGCCAATCTGGATTCCAGCTCTCTGACAATGGTAGTGATAGCTTATTGGCCCGTCTGTCTGATGGCCAGGACGAAGAAAAAAAAACTAATAAAATGAAGCTTACAGACAAAACTGACAGTGGCCATCATCGTAGACAATTTCTTACACTCGCCATCATTACAAAGTGCTACTGACTGCAGGGTTTCTGTCTACATGTGCCTTTCGTGGTTTTGTCTGTTTCCAATTCCAGTGGAAAAGAAAACATTCACTTTTTCGCAACTAATTGAGAACATGTTGAAATGTCCCGATAGATCCCTTGGTCTCTGAAGAAAAAGAATCCAATGTTAAGCTGTGAAAACAGTCTGCTGAACCAGCACGGCAGGACACAGGAGAGCAGAGAATCATTCAAACCGTTGTAAAGAACAGGATCCAACAGGTATATCAGTCATGCATTGTGCTGTTAAAATTTGCAAAGTCTCAGCAGCTCAGTGGAAAATAACATTTTACTATCTAAATTACTCCATGTCTGCAGATTTCCATTATAAACTGAGGTATGATCCTTAGTCATTTCCAACTCAGCATCTCCTGGGATGTGCTGTCTTGTTAAAGATGGTATTCCTTAAAGACACCCCAATCACTCCAAACCTCTAAAGGGTCTTTGATTTAGAGGAACTTGCTCACATGCTGGTAATAATATGAGACCAGGGATTGTTTGCAGTCAGAGCCATCAGAACTTTCCCTTCATGCCCAATAAAGATTACTGAATATAGCACACAACTCTGCAATATCTTCAAAACTGAGCAAAAAAGCCAAGATGATTAATAAGACATCATTGTGATGTAACATCAGAGCAAATCTGTGATTTAAATGTACTTTTCCATGTTTGTAGAGATGGTTTCGGTCTAGTAAAGTTATTAAAACACTCCTGAGCCAGCAGAAAGTTCACCAAAAGGAGAGAAAAAAGGAAAAAAGAAAAGAAAAAGACACTCGCAGCAACAAGTGACCCGCTGAGGGAATACACATACCGTCCAGCAGCTGATAGGTAGAGCACCGATGACAAGACCACAGGACAAGAAGAGATAATCCAAAGAACCAGGGAGGAATGCTGCACAAAAGCACATGTGAGGAGTGAGAATCTGCCCAAAAGTTAACTCAAAACATCTTCAGAAAAACAGCGTTTCATTTACCGTGGAGCCATCTTCACTGATGGAGACCGTAGATCCACGCTTAAGTTTCCCTTCTCATTTGTGGCCGTGACAGAGAGAGATGGAGCCCACTCTGCCTCTCTGAGACTCAGCCCAAACTAAAAAAGCTCTCCTCCTCCTTCCTCTCCTCCCTCTGGCTCTCCCCTCCTGGTTCCCTGTCAAACAAAGGCAGCTTCAGTGTGTTGGGACTCAAGGGGCCCTCGCAAAGCTGAAATCTGACTCCGTGCGTCCCTCTATGGACCACCGCTTTCTAATGCGCCCCCCCCCCCCCACCCCTTCCTCCAGACATCACAACTCTCGATACAAATTAACACACTCCAGTTAAGTCCACCTCCCCCGTTTTTTCCTGCTCTTCTTTCCTGATGTGGTTTCTCTCCCTCAGTCTGTGCTCAGGGATTTTTCGTTGGCCTTGACTCCTTTTTGGAAAGATAACCTGTGGCATCCGAAGCATTCTTTACAGTGAACTGAGGAGAAAATATCAGAGATGTGTCCCTCATAAATTCTTTATCTAATCCTCATTACAAAACCTGGGAGATTTAAACTTTTATACACATGTAGTATCTATTAAATAAATTCTAGTTCTCTAAAACGAAAAAAAATCTCTCATTTGAGTTAAATCAATAACATCAAAGCTAGTCTTAGAGAAAAGCTCCTTTAAAACACTACTGCAAACATAAAAATGGATTAATAATGGATAAGGGCTATTTCTGTTCTAATCGTTCATGCAGTATAATCAATACATTCGACCTGCCGCAGATAAGCTGCAAATCTTATCTAAAGGTGCTTTTTACCATTTCAATCACTTCTTTTCATGATCCTATCCTGTTTTTTAAGCCTAGATGTGATTTCCACCCCAAACAATTGGCATTGTAGCCTAAACCTGCTCCTGAAAATAGCAAAACCTATAATGAACTTAAGTGGTAACAGATATGGTACAAAGTTTGCTCAGTGATAAATTGTGAACTAATTCACCATAAATGACCCTGAGACCAGCTTAACTGTTGCTTAACCTCCTGCAAATAACACTCAAAACTGCACTGGTGCCAAATGGGAAGATGGAATCCACACGAAACACTGCAGGAGCCGGGGGGGGGGGGGGGGGGTGGAGGGCAGATAAGGAGGTGCTCAGACCTCGTCTGTCTCAGTTCAGCCTGATAAGAGCCGGCGCGACGCTGTTTAAGAGGTCAGTGGAGATGGAGAGCGGTATTCACCTCACAGGTCTCCTGCAGGCCGGTCACTGCCATTGTCCAGACACATTCCTGCAGCGGCTTTAACCTCTATGTTTCTTTGAGTATTGACAGTTAAAGTTTCACCAGTTCTGATATTTGTCTTGTCACACCTTTCCCAGCCTAAATCAGTGGGTTTTTAAAAATGTTTTCCTGCATTTATGTGGGTGCAAATAATCAACCTTCCTACTGACGGAAATATCAACTAATGACCATTGAGCTAATGCAAACTGGGACAACATTTTACTCATTGACATGTTTAAATAAACTAATTAGCAATAAGGTGGTGAAAATATATTCAACTAAGAGATGGGAGATAAATCTTTTTTTAGCAGCATGAACTGATTTGACAGATTTAGTCCTTTGGAATATTGGTTAGCATTGATCCAATATTTTGTCAATATTAGAATATTATGACACATTATAAAATGGAACACATCTCTGTTCCAAGTAATTCAAAAATCATGTTTCCCTTTTTCCCTGCAAGTTAGATGTCTGTCAACTGGGTCTCCACATCAGAGTATTTGCAAAAAGTTCATACTTGCATCAAGCTTTTTAACAAATACTAAAAGAAAAAATATCCAAGTTGTCATTATTACTTATCCAAACCCCTTTGAGTGCTTCAATAGTCATCTTTTTGGAAGATAACCCATGAAAGAACCGATCTTTGTGAATGAAGAAGCAGACAAAGAGATAGACTGGTGTTTCTGTCCAAAGAAAACAAACTCAGACAAGGGGGTGAAAGCACTGGACTTAAGCCTGTGTGTGGCTGCAGCTAAAAGGGACTCCACAGTGTGAGTCACCAAGATACCAGATTGTCATCGCTGTTTGGCTAATGGCTGTGAGAACAGGGTGAGCTGCCCCAGCAAACAAAAAGGAAACACTTCTCAGATTTTTAAGGGGAAATTCCACGCTGTGATGTCAAACTGTTTGTGATTGTGACAGAAAGCAGCGCTGCTGAAAGATATTTGAATGATTTGCTTAAGAGACATGCACCAGGAGTTCATTTAACTGAAATCATCCTACTAATAAATATAAATTATTTTCTTTTTTGAAAAACACAAGTGGATCGGGGATCGTGGTAGTGCCGAATCTAGACCAACTAAAAACAAATGTTGAAGTTTGAGTCAATGGTAGAAATAGGAAATGTTAAGGGCAGGGACGTTTTTGTTATGATGAGAATCTTTCTTTGTGTCTGAAAAAGACTTTCCACTATGTGTTTTGAGCAGAATGTGCAGCTAGACAATACATTGCTTATGAGTTTTCCTTTCCATAAAGGTTTGCTTGCTTACTGACTGAGTCTCTGGAAATTCTGCAGCTCCATCCAGAGGAGGATATCCTCATGTATCGGTATCAGACAACAATAGGTCATTCGGGAGCTCGGGGACACGAAGCTTAACTGAGTGAATGAGACAAACTAGATGGAGGAGGCAAGAAAACAGAAGGATGTCTCCAAAGACAACAGAGTTGAGGATACTGGATCCATCTGTCACTGCTCTGTTCCAGACTGAGGAGGAAAAGCCTCATTGTGAGGAGTCTGTCTCAGTTTACTCTGTTACTGCGGTGATGGACAATGAAAGTACAACATCTTCATGGTGTTTTGCGAAAAGATGAAATAGACATAGAATATGGGTCGATTGGGTCTGGACTTTGGCTGAGATGTGTGATAAAAAGTATATGAAAGGTGGGTAATGGAGTACTATTTAAAGGCTGCCTGGATCAAACAACATCAGTGAGGATGAATGTCCATTTAGCTATTTTTTCAGATGGCTACCAGCCCTAATGACCCTCAAGAATGATACCATGATGGCTTATGTGATAAGAAAGGGGTATTAGGGGTAGTGCACATCGCTCCATCACTGGTGGGATGATGCTAAGTGTCCTGGGTCAACACAGAAAGCTGGGAGCTCTGCCTGTGCAATTCAAGTTGAAATTCAATATGGTGCACTAACAAAGGGCCCTGCTACTGAAAACAACTGGGCGCTTTGCTACTCAGCCTCACAAGGTCAACCTGCTCCCCACAGTTTCAGTCATTGCCATTCCTGCTCTAAAGGAGAAAATGTAGGTCTATTCATCCAACCAGCAAAAGACCACAAATTCCTGAATAAATAAACTGGCTGCATCTAAAAAGCATTGATGAAAACTTTAGATTTTTTTTGGTTGTTGTTTCCTTGATGAAATATTTAAGAGTCAAACATAAATTAATGTATAAGGAAAAACAAAAATAACAAATGGATAGGTGAGCATCTGTTATACGAGGGTTTAAGGTGCTTGTCACGGCTAACCCAGGCTAACGCAACTTAGCAGCTTCTGTAGATGTGAGAGAATATATGTTGCTGACAGAGTCTCTAGGTGAAAAAAATCAGGGAAACAGTTCTTTACATCTTCACTCAACCAGGAGTCCAGCCATGTAAAAAAGAAGTACATTCTCAATTTCCCACGGGGCTGATAACTGGACCCAGAAGAGAACATTTGTACTTTTAGAGGCCCTGAAAAGTACACATATGACCCCAAGTCCTAAACAGACAAATCACAAGGGCATAATAGAGAGACCTTTGAAGGTAACACCCCAGTAGCAAGTCTTTAACCTTTATAAGATGCACTTTGGTTAATTTCTTCTGAGTGTAAAGACTGCATTTCACCCTGCAATGTGCAAATGAACAAATCTGACCAAATGTGCAACCTCCTAAGTGGAGGAAATAACTACAGAAGCAGCCCTCAAAGGTTGTCCAGACTGCTTATGTTAGCCTCGGGGACTCTTATAAAAGGACAGATGGTTCAAGAGTGATGGGACTGCAGCCTGCAAGGCCATGCTGGTGTTAAACTGTCATACAGCACTCATATTTTGCTCAGAAATGAGTAATAAAGTAGCAAGAACACAATGGAGGCATGAGTCAGGGGAGGAGAAGCCCATTGCTGTGGCAGCCAGTAATTGTTCATTCATTCTACACTCCGGGGGGAAAAATGAGGCAGTTCCAGACACACTAGTATATGATTAACTCAAATAATACAATGCAAATCATGCAAATCGTGGAATTTTCAATGCATTGATCATTCAAAATAGTACAAATGTGTATCTAATTTACAGTTTGCTGATAATTGACATAGTGACATCTTGGACATAAGCAAAAAGATCCCTTCACCGTCATCAAAGTAACACTTTTGTTTTATGAAATCTCAGAAAATACGTGTGTGTATTTTTAACATCACAGCAAGAGATAAAATCCTGACCCACCCAATCATTCTTAGCCTTTTCAGAGTAAAAATAGAACGTATTTAACCATACAAAAAAAGCTGCTAATCCTTCAAAAATGGAATTCAATACAAGTATAAATTACCTAGAGGGTCTTATGAGAAAAGGGACATCAACCAACAAAGAGAACACAATATGTTTTATCGTTACAGTTTTGATCTTCACCAATTTACAAGTAGGTCATGGTTACTCAGACTTCTAGCTGGGCATGGGTCCTCAAAAGCAAAAAAAAAAAAAAACCTTAGTACCAGCTTGCCAAACAGAAGGGAAGATATCCCTTCTACTCAGACCGGCTGTGGATAAATGGTGATGCAACTAAAAACAAGCTAGATGTTTCCACATGCTGTTTCTCATGATTTCTGACCAGCTTTTTCACAACCATCAGCACACACTGACCATGAAAATAAGTAAAAATATTCCCATCTCCAGCAAAAACAACAAATAAACAACATTATAGTCAGGTATTCAGCCACAAGTCTTCCACTGCAACTTTTCAGACTGTTGCACAAGAACATATTCACTGATTTCTCACATGCTGTCATTCCTGCCAAAAGCTCAACATATGCTCCCTTTTTTCCACCTCAAGAAGCAGAGGCTGTGCAAACATTTCTGT